GGAGCCGATCATGATGACAAATATGATAATGCATATAATAATAAATAAAATGATTTTGATTGTATTTTAGACTTACATAAATAAAAAAATATCTGTTTAATGTTTGATTTGTTTATGAGTATTTAGATAATGCGTTCAGCGTTTCGTTACGGTACTTATTTAAAGCAGCTTAAATAAAAGAAAAGTTTGATTCGTTTATCAGTATTTCTTTTATTTATGGTTCTTTAAATAAGCGCCGTAAAATAAAGTTAAACTTCGCAAAGTTTAAAACGAAAGATTTAGATGGAGTTTAAATAGCATTTAAAACGAACCATTTAGATATGGTTTAAATGGAACATTCGATTGACCTACGTTCTAGATCGAAACTAAACTAAATCTAAACATTTAAAAGGAACATTAAATAAACGTTGATAAAATGTTTGAATGCCCGCTGGGTATAGTGATATGAAAATTTAGAACAAATTATCAAAGCATTGTAACAGTCTCTCTTATATTAACTTTAAGTAAATTAAAATGACTTGCCAAAGAAAACTCTACAGTTGAGTTTTGCAAGTTTGTTTCAAATTAAAGGCCTTATCCTATATTCAAGTTATACTTTCCTCAATACTTTTTTCAGATAACTTTATTTCTATCAAGAAGTTGAAGACTGGTGATTCCAATACTAATTTCATAAATTGTGCAAGTGATGTAATAAAGTTTCCAATTAAGTCGGTTTTGAAAATTTAGTACACTTTATAATTACTTTAACTGACCCAAAAGTTTACTAACATCTCCATGTAACTAATTTGCAATTGATAACTCCATTATTTTGTTCATTATTTCTTGAAATGTAAAATAAAAAAAGTTTTTTTGATAATATATTTAGGTTTAAACAAGCTAGTAGAAAATTTTCTTCAAACAAAGTAATAACACAGGTGTTCATCTTTCTATTTACCCACTAGTGTTTACCTAATTTTTTATTCGAACAAAGTAATCTTTGGTTATTATTGTTTTTCTTTTTTTGTTAAAAAAAAGGAAATAAAAATGAAAAAAAAAAAAAATTAATTTAATTAATATTTTTAATATTGTTATTTTTATGATTTAAATTTCTTTAAATGTTATAAACTTTAAATTTACAAAAACACTAACATATTGCAGCTATACCATGTTGTAGCTTTAAAATAATTTAGTTTTACAGACTGATTTAGTTTGAATTTTATTATGAAGTTTAATTAAGTTATTGTTAGCACTACTTTATTTGATATGTTAGCACTACTTTATTTGATTTATATGATTTACTTTTTCCTGATTATAATTTTCCTTTCCCTGATATTATGATTTTTTTAAGAGTACCCAACCTGGCACTAGTTTTAAATAAACATTATGCATGCTTAAAACATTTATGATTTCTTTTTTTATATTTAATTACCTTAGTTTGGGACTATTTAAAATAAAATCTTATAAAGCTAATTACCCTGCTCACACTGACTAAATCCAAATGTTAAACTACCAATTGCTACACTTTAACTACTAATTAACACATTTTGAAGAAATTCATATAATAATCACAAAATATTTACTTTGTATAAAGTATAATAATTTAATACTGAAAGCTGTTAAATGTTACATGTTTAACTCCGGATACTAAGTGTTATATGTTTATCCCCATCTGCTAAATGTTATGTTTATCTCCATAAACTCTGCTAAATTGTCAGCTAAGACAAAATACCTCGTAAGTCAAAAACATTCCTTATTTTTTGTGAAGATACAATCTATTTCTGACAAAATACTGATAACTGATTTACGTGATATTGCGTCTTTATTTATATTATCTTTGAAAATTATGAGCCTAAATGCAATATATCTATTACTATTAAAATATTTCATACTTTTTCTGTAAATTTTGATGTATACATTTCAAAATAATTGATTTTTGACTTATATGGTATTACATCTTGAAATATTGTTTAATTCTTGCTAAATGTTATATGTTTAATTTTGTTAGCTCTGCTATATGCTTAACTCTGGTTTGTGACTAAAATTTAAAAAAATCAATGACATAAATTTAATTTCAAAATCATCATAATTTAATTAAGATTTTTTTAATTGAATGTGTGAAAAAATGTTTGCAGATAATTTTTTCAAAATGTTTTTTAAATTTGAATTGTAGCTGAGTGTTACGGTTGACTTTAATACTACCAGTACTTCTTTAAAATTACCAGTGCTTCTTTAATATTACCAGTGCTTCTTTAATATTATGAGTGCTACTTTAATATTACCAGCGCTTCTTTAATATTACCAGTGCTACTTTAATATTACCAGTGCTTCTTTAATATTACCAGTGCTTCTTTAATATTACCAGTGCTTCTTTAATATTACCAGTGCTTCTTTAATATTACCAGTACTTCTTTAATATTACCAGTGCTTCTTTAATATTATGAGTGCTTCTTTAATATTACCAGTGCTTCTTTAATATTACCAGGGCTTCTTTAAAATTATGAGTGCTACTTTAAAATTACCAGTGCTTTTTCAATATTATGAGGGCTTCTTTAATATTACCAGTGCTTCTTTAATATTATGAGTGCTACTTTAATATTACCAGTGCTATTTTAATATTACCAGCGCTTCTTTAATACTATGAGTGCTTCTTTAATATTGCCAGCGCTTCTTTAATATTACCAGTGCTTCTTTAATATTATGAGTGCTACTTAAAATTACCAGTGCTTTTTCAATATAACCAGTGCTTTTTTATTATTACCAGTGCTTCTTTAATATTACCAGTGCTTCTTTAATATTATGAGTGCTTCTTTCATATTGCCAGCGCTTCTTTAATATTACCAGTGCTTCTTTAATATTACCAGTACTTCTTTAATATAATCAGTACTATTTTAATATTACCAGTACTTCTTCAATACTACCAGCGCTTTATTTTGTGTCACCAAATAACTTTAATTAGTTATTCAGCCGTGTATACTTTTATGTATAGTCACGATCAAAAGTTTGAAACATTTAAAAAATTTTCATAAAATTTGAAAAATGTGTTTAAATATGTTTTTTTTGTTATTGAAAATTTTGAGTATTAATATTATATGCATGTATAATTTATGTTATAAACATTTAAATTTGTTTTAGTCATAGTTTGTTGTTATTTTAGCAAAAAATTAAAATAATAATTATGGGAAAAACTAATGAATTAACAACAGAAAAACGTGCTCAGATTGTTATTCTACGTGAACAAGGATTGACACTGACTTCTATTGCTGCATGTTTTATTCTATGTGAACAAGGATTGACACTGACTTCTATTACTGCATGTTTTATTCTATGTGAACAAGGATTGACACTGACTTCTATTGCTGCATGTTTTATTCTACGTGAACAAGGATTGACACTGACTTCTATTGCTGCACGTTTTAATGTAACACATAGCTGTATTATAAAAACATTGAAGAGATATCATGAAACTGGTGATTTTAAAAGCAAAGCTAGAACTGGACGACCAAAGGTAACTACTCAAATGGCAGATAAACGCATGCATCGTTCTACAAAGGTTAGATGCCCACCTTGTCAATGATACAACACCAAATATTTGCTTTCGACTGTAAAACATTGCCCTAAAATCATAATATGGGGTGCCATTACCGCAAATCAAAGTAGCGATTTAGGGTTTATGCCTCCTAACACTATAATAAATAGCCATGTTTATCTTGATATACTTCAAGAAAAACTTAAACTATTCATGAACATAACGAATACCCACAAGTTTCAGCATGACAGAGCACCCTGTCACAGGGCCAAGCTTGTAAGCAGTTGGTTACGTGTGAATGAAGTTGAGGTCATTGGCCCCTGGCCTGGTAATTCACCGGCCCTCAATCCCATTGAGAACTGCTGGAACTGTCTCAAAAATGAAGTCCAGAAACTGCGACCATCATCTTCTGATGATCTTCGAGAAAAAATTAAGCAGGTATGGACTCAACTTATGACTCCTGAATATTTGAGAAAACTCATTCATTTTATGCCTACCCGCCTAGCTAATTGTTTGAAAGCTCAAGGACACCATACCAAATATTAAATTCAAGTATTAAATTCATAAAACCTTTACTAATAGTTCGAAGTTATTATTTTTGTCAATTATCATGTTAATAATATATTTTGATAAAATAAATGAATAATTTAATGAAAATTGTGTTTTTTTATACAATGTTCCAAACCTTTGATCTTGACTGTATATTGTAATAATAATGCAACAAGTCACTTAAAGATTTTTTTAAATGCACATTTGACTAAATGTTCAAAAAGTTACGTTTCATTTCTTTTTAGCTGTAACTTTACAATTATTATTATTTTTTTTTGCTTTGATTCAACCAATTTAATTTGTATATTTTCAAATTTGATTTATTAACTACTTTTATTGTTGTATTGAAGTCTAATGACTCATTACTTGATTTTGTAAAAAAAGAATAATAATGCATTATTTTACATATTTAAATCCATTTTTATTTAACTTGAGGAACAAATACTTCATTTTTTTTCTTCTCTCTCCTTTATGTCTTATCTCTACTTCTAGTACCTTTAAGTTTTGTTACCTATTAAACTAGATTTTAGTTTTTTCTCAATAAAAATATTGTTTATACTACATTTAACAATTAACTAAAATAAATCTAAACTAATAAAGACATCATAAAAAAAGAAAAAAAAAAGAAAAAAAGGCAATTAATAACTCTAAACATTTATTATGAAAACTTTTTAGCTAAGTAGGGCTTAAATTCTAAAAAACTATTTTTTGAAAAATCAGACTTAAAATATTTTTAATAATTAAGAGCTTCTAATGCTTATGAAATTTTGTCCAATTATTAGCATTATAAATATAACAGCTTGCAGTATTTTTATTTTCAAACAATTTTGATTTTTTTCTGACTTCCAATACACTTCTAATTAAAATTAGTTGAGCCATCATATTTTAAATTATATTTTTTTTTTTCAAACAAAAAAATTGAAAATAGTCGGATCTAAATTTTTACCTCCAAAATGATCTCCAGCATTGAGATTTTCTATAAATTTACCAGTTACTGTAATTTCAACACTTCCCTTTCGTATAAAAAACATTTCAGTTGCAGTTGTACCTTCACTGTAAATAACATCTCCGCTTAAGTACACGTCAAATGATAATTTACGAAGGACAGCAGATATGAACTCAGGTGAACCAACTTTAAAAAATGATACATTTTTTACAAAATCTCTGCAAGTATAACTTATGATCTCCTAAAATTTAAAATATAGTAGATATAAAGTAGAATACCAGAATGTGTGTGTGCATATTAGGGTATACCAAAAACATATTTTTTTTCCTCTAGGATACCTCTCAAGTTTTTCGTTTTCTCTGAAGTCCCCATGGTTAAAAATAAACAAAAAAAAGAAGTCCTTGTCAAAAAGTGATATCTATTTTATAGACTATAAAATTTGAAAAAAATTTGAAAATAAATGTCCCTTATGTCAATATTTGATAAATTTGTATGGAAAGTTTTTCTCATTTTATACTTTTTAATAAACATATTTTTTTTCATATTATACTTTTTAATAAATCTATTGATAACTCCTAAGTTGTATAATTTGATTATTATTATTAGTGTGATACATGCTTATTTTATAAAAGCATATAAAATCTATTATCAAGGCTTGGGTATGCTTCTCCAAAAAAATTTAAGGAGACTTAAAAAAGGTCTAAACTTACAAAAACATTTGGGTTCTTGTTTGTCTTGTAAGCAAGAGGAAAAATTTTCTTCTGTTCTCATACATTATTATTTTGCAGTACAATACTGTAATTAAATGATTTTTATGCATTAAATAAGTAACTTAAAAAATTAGTATTAATAAAAGTATTAATAAATTTGTGCTCAAAAACATGTGTTATTTAGTGTAAAACTAAACAATATACTTTTTTTTTCATATTTTCAAATACATGTTTTTTTAAATATTTTCATTCACTTTATTTTTTAACAAAATTTAACATGCTAATCGTCTTTGGTCAATTAAAAAAAATTAACTGTAGTAAAAAAAAAAGGTTTTAATTACATGTTGTTTGAGATACACACATAGGCATGATTAAATTACACTTTTTTGAGATACACACATAGACATACATATTGAAAATGTGCTTAGCTATAAACAGTTTATAAAAACCAGGTTTTTAAAGCTTAAATCTACTAAGCCTTGTGTTGCTTGTTCTCAAATGTTTCCAGGCAAAGATCTTATTTACAAAAGCAGATTATGTATTACAGATGTGCTTCTTCTTTTGTAACAGATGTGTGAAACAAAGCTGGTTATAGAGAATATCTTATTTCTGGAGCTCCTGTTAATTAACAATGTAATTTTTATTTTTAAATAAATAAATCAAATAACAAACAAATAATTAAGTACCAACATAAAACAAGAAAATAGTAAAAATGAAAGAGAACAAGAAAATAGTAAAAATGGCGACATTCTTTATTTCTATATGCGATGGGCCCTGGTTCTTAAAATCCTATATGGTATGGTGGACAAGTTGGCTACAAAGGACAAGCAACCTTTAAATCATTGTTTACAATAAGGAAACACTACCTTAATAAGAAACACTAACTTTAAATAAGGAAACTACTACAGGCTTCTCATGTAACCATGCAGCACTTTTTTTAATTTACTTTATGCTTAAGTTGAGGTACAGAAAACGGAGGTATATGGGAAAACCATTATTAGCAGGTCAAAGGAGCTTACCAAACTTGTAGGTTTCTAAAGACAGATCCGGTATAATTTGAGATTCTAGTTGAATAGGAGGAAATTTAATATATATTAAAAAGGTTTTTTGAGCCTTTGAAAATTTGAATGTTGATTGAATGTGTCAATGATTATTTGAATTTGCTGGAAGCTACAGGTCATACAACATGAAACAAAACTTTATGCTGGTCACCATTAAGAATCTAAAAAAAGAACTTGAAAAAGAAGCAGAATCAAATATGTCTAATTTTTTTAATTGGAAGTATATATTAAGAGAGTTCCTACAATCTATTATTTATATAAATTATGTTAGTGTATTCTACAAATAGAGTGCTCAATGTTCTTAGAGAACAGAGCAATAATAAATTAAATTAGTAAAATCTTTTATCTTGTTTTTATTCTTTGACAGCTTGTTTCTCATTCAGTAGGTCCATCAAGAGGCCTGATGAACCTACATGGCTTCCTAATGAACCTACTGATGGAGAAACAAGCTGTCAATAAAACTAATAAAATAAAAAACTAGATAATTGATTTTACTAATTTATATACATACATATATATATATATATATATATATATATATATATATATATATATATATATATATATATATATATATATATATATATATATATATATATATATATATATATATATATATATATATATATACACATAGATTGTTTATGTATTATATAAAATAATACAAAATTCTTGAACGAAAACAGTGCTCTATATTATGATAATAGAGCAATATATATATATATATTTTTTATTTAAATGAAGAAAAACAACATTATAATAGTACTTAAAGTTTCGTGCCTTTTGGCAATCATCAGCTATTAATTACCTAATTAATAGCTGATGATTGCCGAAAGGCACGAAACTTTAAGTACTAATATAATGTTGTTTTTCTTTATTTAAATAAAATATATATATATATATCTTTAAAAGTCATATTCTTGTTATACGATATGTTTATAAATATGTAAGTTGATTTCAATAAAAAAGGCAGCGCATAACTATTTTTAAATATATTTTGATATATTTATAAGGATCTTAAAGTGCCAAGACAAGTTATGTTCATATTAAAGAGAACAATAAAAAATAATGTTTGGGCAGAATTTTTTTAAGTAAAACAAAATATTAAAGGAATACCAAGAACAACAAAATTTGTTGTTTTACTCAAAGCCGGCTGTCTTCATGTTAGCTGATCTCTCAAAGTCTTTAAAATATATGCCGCAATCTACAGTCTAATTTATTTAAACGCATTTATTTCCAAAGAGTTTTAGTGAATGATGTCATTGTTGAATTTGAAAAGAAATCTGAAAATTCTTTTTTTTTTTTTAGTTATTTCTTTAGCTATTTTATTTTTAATTTTCGCAATTCACAATAAAAGTATGAATAAAATATTTCAGATATTTTAACCTCGTCTGTTGCTATAAATTATTTTTGTGTTATATATATTGTTATATTATATAATCAAGAACAACTAAGAACCATATTGTGTTATTATAAAAAGTTTTCACTTGACAAAGTTAAAAATCTTAACAATTAAAAAAAACTTTAAATTTATCATATTTCGAATGAGGTATCTATGACAGCGTTAGAGTTTATTTAAGGATATTGTTTTGTTTATTAAAAAAATTTTTTAATGAGGTATACTGCTTTCTGATTTTCTTGGGCTTGTTTATTGTTTATTTGGTTTTATTTCTTAAAATAAATTGATTAATATTTTTATGTTTCTATTAGAATTTTAATTTATTTTGTTTTCATGTTTTCTTTTGGTGGTACGGTAAGTGTTTTATTTAGTTATTTTTATTTTTGTTTGTTCAGTAATATCTATACTTTTTATATCATATCATCAAAAAAAATATTGGTGCTTTACAAATTTGGGGTTGGTTGGGTTTTGGCTGTTTGTGGTGAGTCTTTTTTTACTGCAGTATGGAATAGGCGTAAGTCGCGTAAAGCATAAATGGCAATGACGTTTGTCTGACGGGATAAACTAGTTATAAATGCTGATCCTCATCGAAACGCCAGTAATAATAGACGCGACTCTGAGGAGATGTTTATTACTTATCACTACACTAATTATGTTTACACATTAGCATTAATTTTTTTTTCCATTATTAGTCCTTTCATTGTTGTTAGCATATTTTTAATTTGTTGAATGGTTTTTTGTTTTACAAATTTTTGACTGGTTATTTATTTCTTGTATATTTTAGTTCATATTGGTATTTTTAAAACAATTTTTTTTTTTTTTATTTTTTTTATTTTTATATATATATATATATATATATATATATATATATATATATATATATATATATATATATATTTTATTATTATTTGTTCTTATTTTTTAAAATTTTTTTTATTGTTATTATGGTTGAGTACTGTTTTGGTTGTATAGCTTGTCTTATTTACTTTTAAATATTCCTCTATTAATCATTATTTTTGTCAACTTGACAACTGTCAAAATATGCTATGTCTAATAAATAATTCTCCTTTATTCTAATGTACTTCATTTCTTCCCTCAGGCGTTCACTGCTCGTGTGTGACCATTCGGCGAATTTTATATGCCAAAGTTTTTAAATAAAAAGTTTTCACTTGACAAAGTTTAAAATCTAAAGAATCCAAAAAAACTTCAAATTTAGTTCTAAAATGAGATAAAATTAAATTTTACAGTGTTAACACTGTAAAATTTAACTCTCAAAAGTTTATAAGTTTTTAACTATAAAAATTAAAAACGTCTTTTGAAGAAAAACATTTTTTTTATACATTAAAGTTTTGTTTTGGACTCAATTTTGTAATTACAATTAAAAGTCACAAGTCACAATAAATATAATGAACAATTTTTTATTTATACAGATATAGTTAGACTTGCACCTTTTTCAATAAAGAATGTTTGTGAGAAAAATTTGCAAACAAACTAAAGCTTTTCACATTTTTCAATTACAAAAAAACTTTATTTATAAATGATTGAGATCATGCGATCTATGAAATGTATATCTAAAGTGAAAAGATCATAAGATCAGTTCTTGATAGTACAGCTTTAAGGAGTCGGTAAGTCTGCGGTTGGAAAAATTATTAAGAGATACAGACTAACTGGATGAACAAATAATCAAAAGCAATCAGAAACATCTTGCAAAACAACACATAGACAAGATAAAAAGCTTGTGATACTAAGGAACAAAACATTTAACAGCTGTTGATATAAATGTACAAATAAGATGTTTCTATGGAAACATATCATTTTTTTTGTAGTATTTTAACTACAAACTGTCATTGAAGTCATGCTTTTGGTTTTTTCTTAGCCCAGCTAAGATTTCATTGAAAAACCAAAATGGTTGAAAAGAAATTGCAATAGTACCTGATATAATATCTGAATAGAGTAGTCAACAACGGTCAAAGATTTTTTTTAGTGATGAAAGTAAGTATATGCTGTCTGGATCAGATGGAACCAGGTATGTCTAACATACAAGATACTAAATACAAACTACCTATTGCAAAACATAGAGGAGGAAATGTAATGGTTTGAGGATATTTTAGTTATAATGGTGTTGGTTTGCTCCTAGAACTACTAGGGTTATGGATCAAGAAATATACAAAGGTATATGTAAAAACATGTTACCTCATGTAAAGGATAAAATGACTTGGTGATAGATATGCCAGCAGAAAAATGATTCCAAAGAGTTCTTTAAAAAGAGTAAATTTTATGTTTTGAAGTGGCCACCCCAATCAGCTGACTTAAATCCCATTGAACATTTATAAAAAAATGTTGACTGCCAACATGTTCCCATAAATGTTCAATGGGATTTCACTAAATAAATCATGCTGATTTATTTAGTCAAGAAATATGGCACTCAATTCCAATTGATGTTTGCATTAATTTAGTTGACTTTTACAGATGCCATGTTGCTCTTGATTGTAAAGGATATCCTACAAAAAACTAATGCGATTTTGTTTTTATATAAGTTTTTTTATTAAATATCTTTCAAAAGTTAATATTAAAAAAAAATAATCCCACTCCCAAATTTTTAAAATTAGCATAAATAAAAGTTGTTTTGTAAAAAATTTAAAAACATTAATTAAATAATCAATATTTGTTCAAAACATAACTGTAATAAAATAAAATTGAAAAATTTGTATTTTTTTATTCATAATTGTAAGCATGAAAACTTTTTAATTGATACTTGATAGGATTTTCCCATTTAATATGGAGCGCTTCTTTTACTTTTAATTTATCTTAAGTTGAAGCAGTACCCAAAATCTTAAATGAATTACAATTAGACAGGTTTTTACAATTAACATATGTAATGGAATGTTTAGGTATTTTGTTAAATCTTTCTATTTTTCAATATTTATTCCAGAGTTTTAGAGTAAAATTAAATCAGAAAGTAAAAATTTTAATTCCATTTGTGAAAAGAATTGTCGTTAACTAAAACACTTCTCCATTTCTTACTTAAAATAGTAAAGTTTTATATTTGCTTTCACACATTATTATATATGAAGAAGAAACCATTTTATGTAATGAATTATTAGTTTGCAAATACAAAGAAAAAAACTATTTTTTAAAGTAAAAAAGTCCCAAAGATATTAGAATACTACATTTCTTCAAAAATTAATTAAGTTTTTTAACTCAAAAACTTTTAATTAAATTGATTAAAGCGTTTAGACTTGAAATTTAAACTCTAAATCAAATATGTTGAAAACCTTAAACTTTATTTTTTAACTTGATTTAAGAATTTTCAATTACAAAAAAATTTATTTACAAAAAAATTTTATGCTATTAACTTTTTTTAATAACTTATGTTATTAACTGTTATTTTCAAGTATAAAGGTTTATTTAACTTTATGTTATTCAAAGTTATATTTTTTTTAATCAAAAAATTAAATAATTTCACAAATGCATTGAAAATATTTTTTACAACAATTAATTCCTAACGTTTTCTAAATATAAACCAGATAAACTATATCAAAAGACAATTTAAATATACCATTAATAACAATTTTGGAGTAACGTAAATGGCTTAACGCGCAGGTAAAATCACCATTTGGTACATAAAATTTTTTTTAGGTACTAAATATAATTACAAAACCTTTTAGGTACCAAACATTTTAGGTACCAAACATAATGTACAGCGTAATTCTTCTCTTAATAAATATTATACAAACAGCAAAGACTTTGTAACTATCTTTTTAAAATATCTTAAAAATAAGATTTTCAAAATATATATCTTGAAAACATGTTTATTAGTTGCTTGACTTGCAAAAAATAATTTGTTAATAAGTGCTATATATATTTTTTTATAATAAGTGTTTTCTTACTTTGCGGAGAGGAGGAGATATTTGTGATAAAACCATTTCTTCGTCAAAAAAACGTCCATGATGATACTTTTGTTCATAATAATTTGAAACCCTCTCTTGCAAGCTGATTGGTAAGTTTCGAAAAGCCATGTACTCTTTAATTTGACGATACTACAAAGGAAATAATAAAACTAGTATTAGAAAAGTGAATAATATTAAAATAAAAATAATACTATTAAAATGACGTATTTCATGTCATTTCAATGTGTAAAAAAAAAAAAGCTTCTGGAACTCATTTTTTTTTTGAATAAACAAACCATTGATGTAAATAAAAAGACTGAGCTGAATCTACTAAAATTGCAAACACTACAAAACTTTGAGGTTGATGATTTAGAAATATTTTAAACAAACTTTTAAACTTTCTAACTAGGAACTTCTAGGCATTGTCAATAATTGAAAATGACTTTTTAACAAAAATTTAATGTCATAATTGATTAAACTGTCAAAATAAAGTGACAAATTATTTTAAAAGAATCAACTCGATATATACTGATATATAGTAGTTTAAAACAATTAAAAAGATTTCAAATTCAGCATCCACCTGAAAAACCCTCTTCTTTTAGATTTTAATTAATTGATTGTCTACAAATTTGCTTGCGCAGTATAGAAATCTTTTTATATATACAAAACTACTTTCCTTTGAAAAATACAAATGGTAGGGGAGATAAAAACTCTAGCATTTTCTTTCAAAATAACATTATTTTACAAATTATATATAATGAGCAGGGTTGGCATTAAAAAACCCGCCCAATAAAACCCGCCCAATAAAACCCGCCTAAAAAAACCCAATAAAACCCACTCATTATTATTGAGTGAACTTTTCTATTTTCAATTCAAACTAATGAGTGAATAATGAAGCCCCTGTAGATAAGCCAGATCATATTTAAACTTTTTTTAAATATTTAATATTACAAGTTGAATATTTTTTAACTAAGCAACAGAAACAGACTCTAAAATATTTACCACAAGTGCACATAAAACAACTGAGTTTTTTTTAAGTCTTATCTTATTTAATCCAACTAAACTATTTAAGAAAAGGCAAAACGTGTGTGTGGAAAAACTTAAAGTTGGATACAAACATCAATAAGAAAAAGTCTTTAAATTTCCTTTTTTTATTTAAATATAATCTTTAAATATATTCTATTTTAATTAAATATAACCTAACCTTTTCTTTATAAGAACTTTTTGAAGATTCACTTTGAGCAATATAAGACATAGAGTGAGCAATAAATAAAGCATAAAACGTGGCGCCTGTAACCATAGAGATAATAGTAACAATTGCTTCAGACAATATTACTGGATTAGAACGCCCATATCCACTGCTAAGCATATGAGACAAGGTAGCAAATAATGCCCATCCATATTGTATGTACCATGGACTATGCTTAAAAAGCATAAATATAATAATTATTTATACAGGATAAATAAATATATTATACTATATTTTGTTACATTTTATATAATATGTGTGTATGTGTGTATATATATGTGAGTGTGTGTGTGTGTGTGTGTGTGTGTGTGTGTGTGTGTGTGTGTGTGTATATATATATATATAAATTAATAACACCTATTTTATTTTTCTATATATATATTATCTGTTATTGTTTCTGTATATGTTTGTTTGACAAGATAAAGACAAAAATAATGTTTACAAATTTTATTCTTTTTTGCATTACTTATCATTTTTTTTTTGGAAACACAAAATTGACACTCATAACTAAAAGTTTATGTTGAGACTTAAAAATTTTAAATTAATTTAAATTTAAAATTATCCACAAACCCACAAAACCGTCAAAACTACTTAAAAATGACAACCTTGATTTGTTATTTTCAAAAATATACTATTATAAACTATATAATTAAAACGTTTTCCTAACCTCTAAGTTGGCTAACTTAACCCAGCAATTATCTGGAAAATTTTGCAACATTGGAACAAGAAAATGTAAGCAGCAGTTCCAATGTGCCACTAATAACATCATACCAATTAGTTTAATGTAACGCAAGAAACCAACTGCCCAACAATATACCTAAAATAGAGCATCTTCAAATATATAAAAATAAATTAATAAAAAACTAACTAAAAAAAAACTATAGATTCCTTAGTAGTTTTATTGTGTTGCAATCTGTTTTAAGAAAATAAAAATGAAGATGTTCTTATAGGTTCCAGAGCATGCAAATAGCAAACAAAGATGGTTTTCTTTACTAAGGTTTTTTTACTAGCTATAGAAGTTTGATTTTTTTAATTTTTTAAATTCTGATTCACTCTCAAAATAGGCTGCAAGCAACTATTATAAAGTTGGGAATTACTTTGAAAAAAGAATTGAGTTATAGAGCAAAGAAATGGTTGACAGAATACTTAAAAGGTTGTTGGTTGTATGAGTCAGGAAAACATGAAGATTGGAAAGAGTTCCAAAAGGGTTGAAGTGCAAAGAAAAAAACTAAACAAATAAAATTTTTAGAGCATGCAGGGACAGATAAAATAAAAGAATAAGACTTGGCTGAACAAGATTGACAGTAGTAGTATTGCGATAGTTGTTTGCAGTAAATAACTTTTACTTTCAATTTTTAGTTTTGTTGGAGTTAAAATTCACAAGTTACTGTGAACCCCAACCTGTTACAGAAGTGAGATAAGATTCAAGATTAGCTGTCTGTGCTAAGCAATTGAAAAGAGAAGACTTTTTCTCAAGACAGGAGTATAAAGTTGAGTTTTAAAAAAATTTAAGGACCAAGAATAGAACCTTAGGACCAAGAATAGAACCTCAAGGTACCCCAAAATTTACTGGTAATGAAAAAAAGTTTTGGCCTTTGAGGATTCCTTTAATAAAAATGTTAGAAAGAATGCACTTGGCACACTCATTGAATTATCAGTCACAGCTCAAATATATTACTATTACTATAAGGCGTGAAGGTAAGTGATTAGGGTTGTCTGGAAATCGAATCACAAAGTTAACCATCTGAGTAAGCAATTGAGAATTGCAGAAGTTATGAACTTTATTACCAGCAGGTTCAATGGCGGTTACCAGCAGGTTCAATGGTGGTTACCAGCAGGTTCAATGCTGTTAAAACCATTCAGTGTGATAAGCATTAAAGTCAACAATAACAACAATATTGGCAGAGGGGTAAAGGGAAAGAGCATGGTCAATTTTATCAGAAATTACATCTAAAAGAGTGCAGACTTGAGAAGTGGGAAAATGATAAAGAACAAAGAGAAAGGTGATAGAATGAAGAAGTATTAACCAAAAGCACATAAAAGAATGATCAAAGGATTCAAACCTATTTTCTCTACAAATTGATGTGTAAGTAGATGCCCAAGCCAATCATGTGACTAAAAGAGTCTTTGTAAATCAAAGAATGGTACTCATTAATACTGAGATCTAAAAAAGGAACAGCTAAATTAAAATTAGTCTTACAAAGAGCAAGTCTTATGAATTTTGCAAGAGGCAAGATTCAGCTGATGTAAGGCTACTTTAAAGACCATGAATATTTGTGAAAAATATATTGAAACAAATAAGTGGTGGAGATGGTTTTTAATTTTTAATATTTTGGGCATGATTTAAGTTTAAAGAGGGTTTGAATCATTCATAGAGCTAGACATCTCAAGCATTGAGCTATACAGTTGTTACAATCGTGCTAATTAACTAAAAGTCATAACTTAGAGCTCTTTATGTGGCCTCAACAATGCACACCAAAAGCATAAACAGGGACATTATCTATGGGCAACATGGTTCTATTAATATTTTGCAGCTGTTAATGGAATAAGGTTGGCGGCTCCTCCCATCTAAGAAGGAATGTTATAAATTTTTTGAATAGGTCAGAGCTACATGTTTAAATTGAGTTTAAAATATAAGAAAAATCTGAAAAATCACTATCTAGGGAAAAATTTGAAAAATCAAATAATAGGTTTCTAGATAAATTTCCTTTGTGTTGATGACATCATCACAAAGGAAATTCATCAACTTGATGTTGATAACTTTGAAAACATTTTTAATCATTGTTGATTAACTTTAAAACATTTTTAATCATAATTTTTATAATCATTATTTTATTTATCATTTTAATTATTTGTGTTTACCTTGTTTAGATTTATCCAAAGATAAGGACTTTATTTAAAATACAAATATGTTCTAGAAGGTATTTCTTTTATTACTTAAAATATGGTTGTAAGCGTATGCTACTTGAGTTAAAGAAAAACTATTTTATTTAAAGCTTTAAAGTTGCAAATACTTTTCTGTTTGTAAATAATTATTGAAATTTGTTTATTTTTTAAACATAATGTAACTTTAATAATTTTAATAGTTATTAAATGTACTAATTTTAATAGTTATTAAATGTACTAATTAAATGTAATAAAATTGATAGTAATTGAATTAATAGTTGTTAAATACTTCTAACGATTTTTATGAATGTTTGCAAATCACACAATATTTGCAAAATTAACATAATAGTAATTAGGAAAAACAACAAAAGAGAAAACGTTTTGTATTTGAATGTATAGTGTCTGTATATAATATATTGTATTACAAAGCCAATAACTATTCAAATACAAAAGCTATTAGAACTATTCAAATACAAAAGCCATTAGATATTATTAGATTTTTTTAGATTTAATTAGACATTTAGATTTAAGTATTAACAAATCTGTTTAATGTCCTAAAGGTTAATAATTTTCAAAGAGCTTTAAGGCACCTTTTAAATTAAAGAGATAATTACAGTAAGTTTATTAATTAAAAAATTTAAATTAAAGAAAAAAATACAAAAAAATTATTAATTAAAAAAATTAAAGAGGTAATTATGGTGAACTTAATGATTAAAAAATTTAAATTAAAATGATAAACTTAATGATTAAAAAAATATATTATATGTTTTTGATTAAAAAAATATACTATATATTTTTTTTAAATATTAAAATTTACATTAAAAATTATTACTAGTTATTGTTCCAAGTTACTATGGATTTTTTTAAACATTAAAGACATTAAAGTTTAAAAACAACTAAAAAAGTAAATTTGAATTTTAAGTTTTGAGTTTTTTCAATGATTTTTACCGAATTAAAGAGCCCATTGATTTATAAAATAATTTAATGACACAACGAATAAAGTAGCTTCAAACTTATGGACTTTAAAAACTAATAAATTTATTTGTCATCAAAAAAACATAAGTTTTAACTCCTTGCACCCCTAATGATGTCAAATGATATAATTTTTTTTTACAATATAGCTATAGTAGTAATTGTTTTACTATATGAAAATGGTTATCAAAACTCTTAAGTTACCTCCACAATTATAAAAGTCTTAAGGGGTAAACAGATTTTATCTGTTGAACAGTATTGCACCCCTTCTTCATCTATTAGACTGGTATAGATGTATTTATAACGCATTTTTCCCAGTTTAGGATGTTGAACGCTGGATCTTCTTGATTCAATGCAATGGTTTTACTTGTGTTTTTATGACAAGGAAACTCATTTTATTATCTCCTAATGAGGGTACAGCTCTAAAACTCAGTTTTATGGTTCTGAGACTGGCTGGTAGTCAGGTTTTTCCCAAACTCTGTGGTAGCTCTTGGAGCAGCTGATTCCATCAACAACTGAAGAATACCTGAGTACAAAAAGTGCCATGTTGTGCATGAATGGTATCCCTGTTCCTACTTTTGGTGTGCATTTTTAAGGCCACATATAGAGCCCTTTGTTATGGCTTAGGGTTTATTAATAGTATGAGGCAAATACTTGGATCATTAAATAGTTTCTTGAGTATTATATGTGCTTTAAGTCAAGTTCTTTAACAAGTATAAAAATGAAAAAAGTAACAAAAAATATAAAACATAAATAACAATTGCATCACAAAGTTCTTTAAACCTATCATTCACATATATTCGTGGTCTTTGAAGTATCTTTTCTTCTGTTGAGTTTTATCTCTTGCAAAGTACACCAGGCCTACTTGCTCTTTGTGAGACTAATTTGAGTTCAGCTGTCTCATCTTGTGATCTTAGTGTTGATGGTTATCTTCCTTTAATTCGTAAAGACCCCATAGTCACATGCTTGGCCAATGGGCATTTTATATTATGTGCTTTCGTTAAGCACCATTTCACTTGATCACCTTTTTTTTTGTTTTTTATAGCTCTACTTTATTTCAAGACTACACTGTTTTTGATGTTATTTCTGATCAAATTGACCAAGCCCTCTCTCTTTATCCTTCAGTCAATATCGCTGTTGTTTGTGACTTTAATGCTTTAAACTGAATGGCTTGGTTCTAGTGTCAGTGACTCTACAGGCGTTAAGGCCCACAACTTTTGACTTCAACTTTTCAACTCGCATTCTAGACAATCCAAATTCTGATCCAATTCAGTGCTCAGTTTCTCCACATTCACCATTAAGTGTTTCTGATCAGGGTTTGATTTTTCTAAAATTACCTCAATTTTCTTCATTATCAAAATCCCCCCCTACCCCATCATAGTACCTTTTACAACTATCTTAAAGCTGACTGGGACTCTTTCCATGATTTTCTTCTTGAAGGCCCTTAGGAAGAAATCTTTCATCTTCCTGGTGACAAATGTGTTTCTTACACATGTAACTTCTTGAATTCATGCTATCAGGGAATCTTTTATTTGTTAAGTTTTTATGACACCATCTTTAAGTTGTAGTTATATCGGCACCGTATTTTTATGTGCCGTATATTCTTTATGTTTTTAGTTTCAGCCACGAGGCTATGTTTTTATGTATATTTTAAGAATATTTATAAACACTAATATCGACTTTTATTTCCTCCATCATGAGTGAACACAAAATATTAACATTATTCCCTCTCAATGATTCCAAATCAAGCTTTACCCTTCTCCATAGTTTTCCACTCATTGTGCTGCTGCAATTTCTAATCATAAACATTACTTTCTAATAACAGGTATAAAGTAATCATGACCATTACTTTATACCTATTACAGCCTTGCTGAAGAGATCTCTGGAGCTGTCATCTACAGTTTCAAACTATTTAACAAGTACTTATCACTTGTTAAATAGTTTGAAACTTGAGATGACACTTGAGAGCGATCTGATTCGTCTAACTAGGTTCCTATTAGTCTTCCTTCTATCATAAGCAAGGTTTTTGAGTCCTTAATAAACAAACACTTAATCTCTCAACTTGAATCTAATAACTTACTTTCTGATCCTCAATATGGATTTCAATCTTCTTTTTCTATTGCTATTGCAACAATTTAGATCTTCCTATATTTATGAAAAATACTTGATGAATCATCTACCCTTCATCTTTTAGGATTAACTTTTACTTCCAAATCTATTGCAAAATTCAAATCTATTACAAAATAAACACCTGTTAAGGTTTAATCTCTTTATCGTAAATGCCAATTTCTTACTCCGAATTCTATTCTATTTCTCTATAAATCTCAACTCAATCCTTGTATGGAATACTGTTGCTATATCTGGAGCAGATCTTCAAATAATGCCCTTTCTCTTTTATACAGGGTGCAAAAACGTAATATTGCTTCTCTTTCTCTTTTCTATAAATATTATATTGCGTGCTGCTCTAAAAAGCTAGCATCTCTTATGCCATCAACTAAAACCCATTGTCGTGTTACTCATCATTTAATAGTCTCATCCTTTTATTGTGACTGTTCCTAAGTGCTCCAAAAATTCTTATTTAACAAATTTTTTCCTTGAATATCAGCTCTTTGGAACTTTAGTCTTGTTTTCCTGATTTATATAACTCGCAATCTTTTAAGTCATCTGTGAATCATTATCTTGGTTAATAAACTTTATCTTTTCTCTTCCAGTAACTTTAAATTCTAATAGCGGTTGCTTACAGACTTGTTGGAAGTGAAGATATTAAAAAAAATCAACTAAATATTTTAATAACTTTTTAGGTGAGGCTCCATAGCTGTGGTGAACCTAGAAAAAGATAAACTCTTTAAAAAAAAATATTTTTAAAGGTAACAGTGGGAGGAGGCTCCATAGCTGTGGTGAACCTAGGAAAAGATAAACTCTTGAAAAAAAAAATTTTTTAAGGGTAACAATGGGAGGAGTTCATAAGTTTGGTTGGTAATCTTTAATTCATAATAAAGAAATCACAGTACTTAGTCCTGATTTTCGAAACAGGTTTATTCAATTAAAAAAACTGTTATAACTCTCAAACAAATAAAATAAGAAAACTGTTCAAGCCACACAGAAGTAAACAATGGGCATTAAACTTAATGAAAAATTTAAAAATTGTAACTACAATTATTAACTAAAGCACCCCTATACTTTTTTAACAAATTCACTTTCAACAAGCCTGAAAGAAAGTTTGACTAACTTAAATTTACTAGAAAGTAAATAAGACAGTTAAACTAATATATTTAGCGGAAAGTATATATATATATATATATTTGTAATTCAACTCCCCTTCTTATAGTTACACCATGAGAAAATAGAAACATTAGAGGTAAAATCTAAGATTAGATGAAATCTTGTAGTACCTCTGAAGTTACTACAATATTTCATCTATGCTAATCTTAGATTAGCATTGATAAAATCTTTTGTTTCAAGTTAGTTTGAAACAAATGTTGTCTCTGAAGGACAATTTAAAAATTAAAAAGAAATAATTCAACTACTTCAGAAACTTTCTCAGATGATGATTTTCTCAGCATGCCATAACTTATTGAATATGGTTCGTATAGGATATTGCCATCAATGCTGAGATCCAAAAATGAAACAGCAAAATTTAATTTAGTCTAATGCCAGTAAGTTTTAGAACCACTAAACTAATTTGTATTTTCAATAAAACACCATCTTTTGTCTATACATAAACAGAGTCTGGGTAGTACTTTAAGTAAAATTTTATTTTTTGTGGCTTTTACTTATAAAAGTATACCTAAAAAGTGTCTAGAAAAGCAAGCAAATTTATTCTTATATTAAGTAATGTCTTTTTTTATAATAAAAAATGATAATGCAACTTGCTACATAATAAAAGAAAAAATTACTTCTTCATATAGTGAAACATTTCTTATAATTCTTGAAAGTCGAAGAAGCTTTAGCAAGTTAAGTAGCTTCAGCACTTTTAACACTTTAAAAACTCTTGTAGCGCCTTGCAAATTAAAAGTTATGTCATCTCCACTGTCCCAATCACCCACTGATAAGATAAGTATATGATGAAGTGGTAGGGTACTAATAAAATCTACAGGGAACCATGTCCTTAAATAGCTAAAAATAAAAATAAAAATTGAAAAAAAAAAAAAAAAATTGAAAACAGATCTACGTCTTAAAAAAAAATAATTTAATAATATAAAAATATTATTTCATGTTAATGGTTGAATCAATACTTATGAACTATGACAGTTCTAGACTTCTAGACTACTATGGCATGGATAGTAAATTACAAAATCAATGTCTTTATTAAATAGTTGAAGTAAACATAAAAATACTAAAAACCTTATTGTTTCAAATTATAAAATACAAATTTTATAACATTTATATTTTCAAGTTATTTAGACGGTTCAAGAAGTTCTAAAGGTCTTATCACAGAACACAGCAATATTTACAATAATCTTTAAGTAAACTAGTTTTCTATAAGTCTAGTTTAAAGCTAATTTCAGAAAAGGTATTAAAATTAAGGAAAAGATCTATTCATCTCAAAACTTTACAATATTAATTTATACATAAATAAATATATGATGCAATAGTTATTTCAAAGTTAAACTATGAAAAACTTTTTTAAAGAAAAGTTTTTTAACACATAAGTTTTGTTTTAGTTTAGTTTTAGCAATTTTATTTTAGCAATTTTTTTTGTTTTTGGTTAAAATTTCTGTGATAATACTTTTTAGTTTAAATTAAAAATGAATTTCTGGTTTCTTGTTTTTTCTTCTTGTTAAATGGAGCCATTGGCTCTAACACTTGAGTATTAATAATAATATTTAATTACTTTTATTTTTCGAGAAATTACTAAAAATTTCAAAATTTAGAAATAAAAATTTATAAAATTTTAGAAAAATTACTTTTATTGTGATCCACTGTTAGTTCACAAAAGAAAAACAAAAGTTAATAAAGATTAGCAAAAAGTTTTTATAAATACTGTATATTTTTCATAATTTTAATTCATTGTGTTGATATGATGCACATTTTCTTTTATTGAGTTATATTTTTTATTTGATCATCTATCAGATAAGAACCATAGATTTAATTTTTGTTTAAATTTTTAAACAATAGATTTAATATTGTACCTGGTTGAAAAAATTGTACAAATTGCTTGGTCAAATCAAAAGCTTTCACTGAAATTATTACTAATGACACTGATATTGCTGACGATAACACAAATGAAAGCATAAATAAAGAAAATGTATTTAACATCTAACATGAATAGCAATTATAAATAAAAGCAGACCCTTCTTATTGTCTTAGTATAATTGTTGTGTTGCCTGTTAAACTTCACAGAAAGCCATTGGTCACTTCATTGGTATGGGCATTGGGAAAAGAAAACTTAAAACTATTACAACAATTTAAAAAATTTGGAATATTTAAGCACTTTAAATATTCCATTGATGGAAATTAAAGTTTTCAATAATGAGTTTATTCTTGATTTAAAAAAAAAAAATTGCTCAGTTCAATAAAATATTAGTTTTGATAAAAGATAAACTTGAAAATGCTCTCATCTGGCATTCTGTGAGCGATTGTATCTTCCACCAAAACACGAAGTTGATTTTCTTGCGCAATAAAAGTGATTACCATAACTTTATAAATTTATTGTTTGTGATATTTAAAAAAAAAATGCATGTTACACTGATGTGCTTTATGTCCAAAAAACGCACCTAAATTATAAGAAAAACTATATGAACTAATATGGAAGTTTGAGTAATTAGATACAATCAAATTTAACCAATGTATTGCTACTGATAGATCAGATGTAGTTGTTATACAGCTAATAAGCATACTAGGTTATGTAAATATGGTAATGGAAAAACTAGTAAAGCTAACAGCACATTCATATATTTCTAAATCGTAAATCAAAATATTCAAAAAACCTTAAAGAACTGCCATCAAAAAGCGCAATAATTCTAGAAGATTTTGAAAACTATAGTTTTGTTGTGCAAATACTTGATCTTTCTGGTTGTGTCTAAACGTAAATACCTATCAACCTCTTGTCTCAATCTCAATATGCTTTTGATCAAAAATATAATTTAAAGTTTTTTGATTAGTAAGTCAAGGAACGGCTCAATATTTTTTTCTTTACAGATATGTATATATACATAAAGAGTATGGAGTTTGGAAATATATAGATCATTACCTTTTCTATAATTTTTTAAAGGTAAATATGTTTACTTTTAAACTATATTAAAAATACTGATTTATACTTGTTGATTTACTATTAAATATAAAAACATTTAACTTTTAGGTATAATTTTATGGTTTAGCATCTAAAAAAATGTGGGAATTTTCAAGCCATGAAATAATATAATAAAATAATATTTATTACATAATATAATAAAATTTCATTTATATTGATTGATAAATTGATTTTTTTGTTGTTTATTTTGTTTATCCCATTGGCGTAGGAACATAGGGGGCGGAAGGGCGATAATCCCCTTCAAATAAAACACTAAGGGGGGGGGGGTTGAGGAACAGAGCATTTAGCGCCCCATTTCTTAAACAGTTTTATAATAGCAAAAGCAGAATTATCATTTTCCAGTCTGCAATGACTCAATCACAATTAAACATTACCATGGAAAAGTAAATTCATAAAATTGTTTAATCGCATACTAACTATTTTTAAATTGTTATTATTATTATTTTTTTAAACATATTCGCTTTCAACAAGGCTGCAAGCAACCACTAATTAGTGTTGGAAGTTACTGGAAGAGAAAAGATGAAGATTGTAGAGCAAGATAATGATTGACAGACGACTTAAAAGATTGCAAATTATATGAATCAGAAAAGCAAGAAACGAAAAAGAAGGAGGCGAATTCCAAAGAACTGAGTTCGAGGGAAAAAACTAGACGAATAAGAGTTTTTGGTGCACTTAGGAACAGTAACAGAAAAAGGATGAGACTTAATTGAATGACAAGTAACACGAGAATGAATTTTAGTAGATGGCACAAGAGACGCTAGCTCTTTAGAGCAGTGCCCATTATAGTATTTGTAGAAAAGAGAAAGAGAAGCAACATTACGACGACGTGACAAAGGTTGTAGGTTGGCTGCAAGAGCAGGTCCAACTATGTTTACAATGCGTTTTAACACCTTGTCTAAAAGAGAAAGGGCATTATTAGAAGCAGGGGTTGGAGTTGTAAAAAAAAAGTAACGACTCCGACTCCAGTTGTTGAAATTTATTGAGTACAACTCCGACTCCGACTTCAAAGCAAAATTTTTTAAAAAGTTCTTTGAATTCTTTAAAAGATATTGCCCGGTAAGTTGAATTTTTTTTTTGACAAATTTATGAAACATTCTGAATGTTTTGCACATGCACGTGCAATACCAAGAAATTTTACTATCGGATCGGAGTCGCGATATTTTTTAGCGACTCCGACTCCGGTAAAATTGTCGCAACTCCGACTCCACAGCCCTGATTAGAAGATCCACCTCAGATATGGCAACAGTATTCCATACAAGGATGGATTTGAGATTTATAGAGATAGAGAATAGAATCCAGATTTAAATAGTGTCGAGCTCGATAAAGAGATGCAACTTTAGCAGATGCTAATTTTGCAACAGATTTGATATAAGGTTTCCAAAAAAGATCAGAAGTAAGAGTTAATCCTAGAAGATGAAGGGTAGATGACTCATCGAGTACATTACCGTTCATAAATATAGGAAGGTCTAAATTATTGCGATAATGATTGGCTGAAAAAAATTGAGTTTTATCTCAATTAAAGTTCACCAGCCACTGTGAGCCCCATTCTGTAGCAGAAGTGAGATCCTTTTCAAGTTCAAATGCCCCCTGCAAGCAATCAGAGGGAGTTAGCTTCTTATCGTTACAAGAATAAATAGTAGTGTCATCAGCAAACAATGCCACCTTAGATGTTAATATATCTGGAAGATCGTTAATGTAAATTGAAAAAAGTATAGGGCCAAGGATTGAACCTGAGGAACCCCTGAGGTAACAGAATAAGAAAAAGAGTGCTGTCTATCAAGGACAACTTTAATACTACAATTTGAAAGGAAGGATTCAATAATTTTAAAGATGTTTCCAGATACACCATAAGAAGAAAGCTTATAGAGAAGACCAGCATGCCAAACTCTATCAAATGTTTTAGAAATGTCAAGAGCGATGGCCTTAACCTCTCCACCTTTATCTAATGCGCAATAAAACCTATCCCGAGAAAAAAAAACCCGCTAATACTACTAGGAATATGTTTAACTTCCTGCTAATCCTGTTAAGTTCCTGCTAAAACGGCTAATCCTGGTAAGTTTTCGCTTAATACGGCTAAACCTATTAAGTTTCCCATAAGTGAAATGACGTTTATAAATTTCCTGCTAAACCTAGTAAGTTCCTACTAAGTACTTATCAGGATTAAACGAATTACTTAGTAAGTTCCTAGTAAGTTTTCAAAAATAAAACAAGTATAAAAAATCGTCTTTGTTATACGCCGTCTTTTATTTATTTACACGGAAGACAAGTCAGCCATAAAACAGCTTTTTTAGATTCAATAGTTTTACTAATTAATATTTGTAATTCTATTAAGAAAAAGCTCAAGAACATCTGGGGATGATTGCGTGGTTTGCAGTTTATTTTATGAATATTTGTTAATGTGTTATAATGTAGTTTTAAATGTTAATTTTAACTCTACATAAATTCGAGCATTTTCTGTTGTATCAATTCGAGCGTTTTCTGATTCAAAGTGATATGTATCATACATAAAAATAAAATATAATTTAAAAAATTTTTTAAATTATATTTAATTTTTATTTTTGATGTTTTTATTTTCATTGTTTATGATTTTATATTGTTTAATAAACATAAAATCATAAACAATTATATTGTCACTCTTTCTTTTTACTATTTCTTTTTACTAAAAAGAGTAAGTGACTTATCTTTATTAATAAAGATTTGTCACTTTTTTTTAGACTTTTATTTTTAATTTTCTTAAAATTTTATTTGTAATTTTATTTAAAAAGTCAAATTTTTATGTCAAAAAACCACTCACTTCAAGCTTGACTAAAATTTTTAGTCAGACTAAAAGAGAGTAAATCATTTGACATTAAAAATTGATCAA